CATTGTTACTAATGAGCCACTGAGCAAACACAAGAAGAAACAGCACAAGTCATAAACTACTTGGAATGATGAGAATCTGATACACAGATCTCTGCTGGTTACTATACAAATCCTCTATGAATGGATGGCACATATTCCTCACAGTGCTGCGACAGAGGTCTGTGTGGTGCAGTGCAGCCTTCTCTCCCCCCGTCCATCCACACAAAGCTCGCATTCTGTGAAGGGATAAAGGGAGATCCTGTTGTTTACCCGCCCCTCCCCATTGACATATATAAAGACGACACCTTACACGGTGACTGGTATCCATAGAATGAGAGCACACGCCGTACACGGTGACCGGTGTCCATAGAATGAGAGCACACGCCGTACACGGTGACCGGTGTCCATAGAATGAGAGCACACGCCGTACACGGTGTCCATAGAATGAGAGCACACGCCGTACACGGTGACCGGTGTCCGCAGAATGAGAGCACACGCCGTACACGGTGACCGGTGTCCGCAGAATGAGAGCACACGCCGTACACGGTGACCGGTGTCCGCAGAATGAGAGCACACGCCGTACACGGTGTCCGCAGAATGAGAGCACACGCCGTACACGGTGTCCGCAGAATGAGAGCACACGGTGACCAGTGTCTGTATTATCAGAGCACACACACCGTACAAGGTGACCGGTGTCTGTATTATCAGAGCACACACACCGTACAAGGTGACCGGTGTCTGTATTATCAGAGCACACACACCGTACAAGGTGACCGGTGTCTGTATTATCAGAGCACACACCGTACACGGTGTCTGTAGAATGAGAGCACACACCATACACGGTGTCTGTAGAATGAGAGCACAAACTGTACACGGTGACCGGTGTCTGTAGAATGAGAGCACACACTGTACACGGTGACCGGTGTATGTAGAATGAGAGCACACGGGGACCGGTGTCTGTAGAATGAGAGTAGACACTGTACACGGTGACCGGTGTATGTAGAATGAGAGCACACGGTGACCGGTGTCTGTAGAATGAGAGTAGACACTGTACGGGGTGATTATTCACTAGGCCCCGTTGCTCTCCATGCTGTCCCCCTCCTCACCGCACACGCCACATTCCCCCCAGTCACACAGGTGAGGCCTACAGTCTCCCGCCACTTCCACACCACACACGAGCGAGGCCTGTGGCCCTACACCTCCTGTCCCCCGCATTACTACCACACGACAGTGACTTTCTCCCTGCCTACCTGTCACTGGCTCCACATCACCAGCTCAGCCGGCAGCAAGAACCCGGGCGGGAAGCTGCTTGCAGCGGCCACAGATAAGGGTCAGCGCGCATGCTCCACTACTAACGGCCGGGGAAGGGGAGGGACCTGTTGCCAGGAGCAAGTCTGCACTCACGACGAGCAACTCAGCCGCGCGCACGCGCGGAATGCTACTGGCCAATGGCCGGTAAGGTGACGTCATCCAGAGGTTTCATTGATAAGACACTGTCAGAGGAAAGCGCGTGCGCGGCCCGTCACGTGTGTTGGATTGTGTGACGTCATGACTTCCTATTCAGGAACAAATCATATCCCAAACTTCAAACAGTTCTTATTTCATTCAGCCTCTAAAAAGTGAAAATTTGACTTTGTGGCTCTAAGTAAAATTCAGTATATTGTCTGAAACCTTAAAGTGTATGTAATTCCCAACAATAAACTTCTTTTATTCTCTCCCTTTTTTATGTTTAATTCACTTTTGTTATAAGTTTGTTTGACAAGTGCAAAAAAAAAGAAAACCTGTTTATTCTGCCAGAAATCCAATGAGCGCCTAATCTGTAGTACATTGATAATGCTGTACTGAAACTTCATTATCAGCTCTGCCCAGTTCACCTTTGTGAACTACATATCACGCTCCCACCCATGTAGCAGAGAAAAGGATAAAGGAGGTGTTCTGTAGTCCTAAAACTCTTTTTGTCCAAGGGCGAAAAATTGTTCCTCCTCCATATATACAGTACACTGAATGAGTGTTGTCACCCTAGAACAGGAAGTTTGTTAGTGGCAGGATTTACTGAAAAAAAGTAAAAACAGCCTAAAAAGAAGAAAACGAATGCAGCCACCACATCTGTGGATTGGTAAGGAAATTAATATTAAACTCTTAAACTTTTTTTCAATGATGAACTCAGATAAAACAAATACACATTGCTCAGTACCTCTTTACATTTTTGGCCAAGCACTTAGGTATAACTAGGGATGCACCAATACCGGTTTCTTGGTATCGAGAACGAGTACCGATATTTTTTTTTGGTACTCGCAGATACCGAATACCGATACCAGAAGTCCCATTAAGGAAGCCAAGTGTTGCCCGGCTTCCTGATTACCCGGGAAGCTGTCTCCATGTTCCCTCATCACCAGGAGCTTCCCAGCCAATCAGGAAGCCGGGCAGCGTGTAATGACTTGCCACCTTGCTTCCTGATACTGGAGGTTTCGGTATCGGGATATTGATCTGCAGCATTTGGGCGAGTACGAGAACTCGCCCAAATACTCGGCACCAATGCTGATACTAGTATCGGAAACAGTGCATCCATAGTTAGAATGTTTCCGAACAGCTCCAACTCTCTCAGCTTGGCTTCCCTTAACCACTTCATGCGGGTGGCCGGCCATATACGGCCGGCCACTGAAGTGGTTATACCAAGAACACGGCTGCTGTTGCAGTCGTGTTCTTGATATCAGTCAGTGCATACAGCAGGTGATGGCTATTCTGGTACAAGCAATCCGGCGACTACCTCCCCCCCCAGCCGCCAGCTACCCCGGGCTTCGCTGCCCCCTGTGCGGGCCCGGGACCGTGACGGCGGGTCTCCCCACATCGATCTGAGAGAGATCAGCAGGCTTCCAGCTGCTGATTTCTCCTCCGATCACTGGACCCGGGAGTGATGTGTATTACATCACTTCCGGTGTCACTGGGCACAGTCTCCAGCTCTTAGAACCAGGAGAAGAAGCCGGTGAAGCAGATCTCTGCTTCATCAGCTTCTTTGGGGTCTCTAGGTGACATTAGGGGTCTCAAAGACACTTGATGTCTCCATAAAGAGGACCTGTCACACCCTATCTGCTATTACATAGGGGGCTTGTTAGTAATAAAGTTAGTGTAAAAAATCTTTTTTTTAAGTGATTAGAAAAAATTAAAAATATTATCGTAACATAAAAAAATTAAAAATATATATTTTTTAAAGCCCCCCGGCCCCCACATACGTGCAGTTTCCTGTTCTAAAAACGAAACCGTGCAAACTTTAACATATACGCGGATTCCGCACGTTTGCGGTTATTACTATAGCCGGAATCCGCCATAAAAGCGTACTTGTATTATTTTGCAGGAGCTTGCCGTTTCGTACCTCGCGGCTGCCTCAAAAGTCTGAACAATGCACATTCAAGTGCATTGTTTTTATGTTCAGAGCGGTTCCGCTCCCATTTGTACGGCCGAATACGCACGGACAACCGTTCCTATGTGAATGGAGCCTTAAACAGGATATCAGGACCAGTGCTCAGGGGACCAGCTGATTCTGCAGGAAACTAAAACTTGAAAACATCAAGGAGCAGCATCCATTGTAAGTGATTTAGTCAGCATTTGAAATAGATAAAAACATTTTGACTTTAATGTCACTTTGCTCTTGGGTTGAGATGCACTTTAATATTTCAGAAATCATGAATCAGATGCTGGCTGCATTAGCTTTTTATGTTTATTTTTATCCAGTGACCCTGCCAGGAACTCACTTTCTGTGCCATGGTGACAATACTCACTCATTGTACTGTATCATTATTATTATACAGGATTTATATAGCCCAACAGTTTCCACAGCGCTTTACAAAATGGGGGAGACAGTACAGTTACAATACAATTTCAGTACAATAGGGTTAGGAGGGCTCTGCTTATGGGAGCTTACAATCTAATAGGAGGAGTAAGTAAACCAAAAGGTAATCATTGTGTGAGATGAGCTGATGGAAGAAGTAAAATGACAGTTGAGGTGGGATAGGCTTGAATAGGTGGAATATGTTGAGGTGGGATAGGCTTCCCTGAAGAGATGAGTTTTCACAGATCTCCTGGGTTATTTTTTGAGCACTCGATCAATGTCCTCAGTGTTTTTCTTTTAGTTTTTTTTTTATTGGACAGCTTGGACAAATGGCGCTTTGCCATTAGTGCAAACCATCCACAGAGCTCAAGCCTCTACAATAGAGTAGCGGCTGTTGCAGCTCTTGCCTCACTATGTTAGGTTACACAAAGCAGTGGGGGAGCCCGCTGCTGAGTAACCTAACTTAGCTGTCAAAAGCCGGATGCAGCGCCGCCTGTAATTAACAGGCAGCGCTCCATCCATGACGGGTTACACAGCCGGGAGGATTTCCCTGCTGTGTAACCTGTAACAAGCCGATCTGAATGGAGAAAAAGCTGTCAGCTTTTTTCTCCATAATACTAGGTGAGGCTCTGCCTCACCTGCCTCCCCCTGACCGCACGTCCCTGCATTACAGTGAGTGAGCGTTGTCACCCTAGGAAAGGAAGTATGTTACCGACAGGACTACTAGGTGAAAAAAGAGCCAGAAAAACAAAACAAATGCAGCCATCGCATCCAAGTACTGGTAAGTTGCAATATAACAAGATATATAAAATATAACATTTTTGTTATTGGGTTTTAAGTTGCCTGTAGGTGGTTTTTAAAGGTGTAATGAGATTTAAATGGCTTCTGTGGGTTAGCGGGGATCCTTTCCACTACCCTGAATTTGTTCTTCAAAAAAAAAAAAAAGCTAACCCTACCTCTAACTCTAAGGCCCCATTCACATTAAGCGATTCGCAAATTGTGCGTTTTTCGCGTGATTTGCATTTTGCCCGATATTGCGCGTTTGTTGCGCGATATCGCGCAAATGCTTGCATTGAGCAACCTAGAGTCGCTCAATGTGAACGGGGCCTAATGCTAACAATAAGGGTGACCCTATCCCTTTATTTACTAACAAAGCCATGTGATCATCATGTCAGCACTGATCTCATGGTTTTATTGATAAAGCTTTGCCATGCCGGGGTCACAGCTAGGAGCACCACCCACATCTTACTTTAAAGAGGAAAATTTCTGTGGTTTTCTTTTACTAATAATACCCGGCAATGACAAATAGCACAGGGAAGGGAAATCAGTATTATACAGGTGAAACTCGAATAATTAGAATATCGTGCAAAGTTCATTTATTTCACTAATGCAACTTAAAAGGTGAAACTAATATATGAGATAGACTCATTACATGCAAAGCAAGATAGTTCAAGCCGTGATTTGTCATAATTGTGATGATTATGGCTTACAGCTCATGAAAAGAACGATTTATCCACAACCTCAAAAAAGTAGATTATTACATGCAATCAATAAAACAAGGATTGTACATAGAACAATATCGGACCTCTGAAAAGTACAAGCATGCATATGTACTCAGTACTTGGTTTGGGCCCCTTTTGCAGCAATTACTGCAATTACTTTTGCACGATATTCTAATTATTCGAGTTTCACCTGTAAATGAGCAATCATGTTAAGCGAAATGATCCCTCCCACGATCTGTTGCTTTTCTTAGATCTGTCCCTTCGCACTCCTCCTCTCCATATTACATGGTCACTGCTTTCCTAATCCTGGAGTGAAAAATACTACATCCGCCCATCTGATCTATATCATCTTTATATGTTCCATGTAATTGGTTTCCCCAATCAAATTAGAGCACCTAAGAAATGTGTTGTTTAGAGCAGGATTCCAGGAAGAGAAAGACGCAATTGAATTGAATTTTGTATGAATTGAAAAATCAATTTCAGGAGTTGTAAAGTCCCAGCATATCCTCTCCTGTTATAACATCAGCATTGTAATAGGAATACATACTACTTGTTTCTGATGATGTAATCAAAGCTTACTTGAAGAAATCCCTTTTATGTAGTGAGTGCTGCCTTCCGTCTGCGCATCACTTTCACCAACTCCCTGGATTCCCAGTGTGCTTTGTGTCTCTTTCCCTGCTGCTTGATGTGATGCAATCTCCGTTTCTCAAGACAACATATACCATCATGCATTGCTTCCAACAAGCAATGATACTGTTACATTGTTCAAACATTGAGTTGCAGTTCAAACAGCAGGCTCTATGAGGGCTGAGTGAAATTGGAATCTTTACAAAGTAAGTATACAAACTTCTATATAGAAAATTAAATATAGAAATACATATTTATTTTTAGTTTTGACCAGAAACATCCTTTAAATGTACAAACAAATCCTTTTTTTGTACATAGGATAAATACATGAATAAGTTGTTACATCATCCTCTGTACAACAGCATTTAGACTGCGGGGTAGGGAGGGGTGGCATTGAAGGCCAATCACAGTTGCCACTACTTCTTATCTACGCA